ATATATATATATATATATATATACACCTATACATTTATTCATATATATATATATACATATATATATATATATATTACTGCTGTCGTTAGTGCTGCTGCTGCTGCTGCTGCTGCTATTTGTAAGAGACAGGGTTTTGTTGCTGCTGCATCTATTTATTTATTTATTTATTTATTTATTTATTTATTTATTTATTTATTTATTTATTTATTTATTTGTATTTAGTGGTTTGGGGTGTATGTACACCTAAAGGAGATTATTAAATACATAAACAAATCGAATGTACGAAGAAATAAATATAAATTACTGCGCAACAAACAACAGGTACTGCTCAGGGCTTAGGGTTTAGGGTTTAGGGTTTAGGGTTTAGGGTTGAGGGTTTAGGGTTTAGGGTTTAGGGGTTTGCAGAAGCCAGCAGCAGGAAAACACTAGTAGAATTTAATTTTCTGTCTACGCTGAATATCTTAAACCCTAAACCCTAAACCCTAAACCCTCAACAGACAAACAGAGGGGTCCGGAGGGCGATGTACTCTGGGACGGCTAAACCCTAAACCCTAAACACTAAACCCTAAACACTAAACCCTAAACCCTAAGCTGCAAACTCTAAGTACAACACTTTAAACCCTAGCTGAAGGCTTAACCCTAAACCCTAGACCCTAAACCCTAAACCCTAGATGGAGCGCCGACAGGGGGGCGGCCGACTCGAGACACCGGGGGGACTTCATCCTAAGCCCTAAACCCTAAACCCTAAACCCTAAAAGACACACAAAACCCTAAACCCTAATCTCTAAACCCTAAACTCTCAACTACACACCGCTGACAAATATACAAACATCAATTTCTTCATTAGGGTTTCCTAGGGGCCCCCGGACACCCGGTACACCCTAAACCCTAAACCCTAAACCCTAAACCCTAAACCCTAAACCCTAAACCACCATGTACCGCTAGAGTCAGCAAAAGACAAACGATAACACCTCAACTAGTGGTACAGCTTGCAGCATTAGCGGCAGCAGCAGCAACAACAGCAGCAGCAACACCAGCAGCAGCAGCAGCCGTAGCTAGCAGCAGAAAAAGTAAGGCCAGTACAGAAGCAGCAGCAGCAGTTGCTGCTGCTGCTTCTGTTTTCTTAAAGGGAGTTGTCTAAGTCGTATGTATTCTAATCGTTTTCGCCTTGTGCTGCTGCTGCTGCTGCTGCTGCTGCTGCTGCCTGCAGCAGCAGCCGTAGCTAGCAGCTTGAGTAGCAGCAGCAGCTGCTGCAGCAGCAACAGCAACAGCTGCAGCAGCAACCGCAGCAGCAGCTGCATCAGCGAGGCCGAAGGCCCCGATCTGCTGCCGCTTCGTACAGAGGCCCAAGCAGTACACTCCCATCAGCTGCAGCAGCAGCTGCAGCAACAGCAGCAGCAGCAGCAGCAACAGCAGCAACAGCAGCAGCAGCAACAGCAGCAGCAGCGGCAGCAACAACAGCAGCAACATCAGCAGCACAATCGACACCGAAAAGACCCCCAATGGAGCATCAGCACTACCAACGACACCAACTTCAGCAGCAGCAGCAGCAGCAGCAGCAGCAGCAGCAGCAGCAGCAGCAGCAGCAGCAGCAGCAGCAGGGAAGAGGAGGAGTGGGGTGTACGCACATTTACGAGTTTGAAGGGTCTTCCTTATTCTGTTCGCTTTCGTGGCGGCACTTTAGAAATAAACAACAAACCCTCTTTAATCTTTGCTGCAGGCAAACCCTAAACCCTAAACCCTAAACCCTAAACCCTAAAAACAGCAAAACCCTCTTCCATCGAGTTTTCCGCGAGCCAGACTGCTTCATAAATATAAGCCCTAGGGTTTATATGCGATAACGTGACGACTAGGGTCTATGGTTTAGGGTTTAGGGTTTAGGGTTTAGGGTTTAGGGTTTGTGTCCAGGCCTGTCTCTGCCTTTAACTCCTTTTTCTCATCTACAAGTTCACCGTCTTCTTCTGTCTATTCGTGATGCGGGTTTTAATGCAATTAAGCTATCTCTCTCTTGGAGCGGTACCTAAACCCTAAACCCTAAACCCTAGTAAACCCTAGTAAACCCTAGGAAACCCTAAACCCTGATGGTGGATTGCGGGGGTTAGGGTTTAGGGTTTAGGGTTTAGGGTTTAGGGTTTAGCTGGTGTGTAGTTCTTTCTTTAGCCTGCTAGCTGGAGGCCTCTCCCCTGGATGCTTACGGTTTAGGCTTTAAGGTTTATTAGGGTTTAGGGTTTAGGGTTTAGGGTTTAGGGTTTAGGGTGTATGTGTGCAGCGCATGCAGCGGGGCCCTTTACGTTTGATTTTAGAGGCCCTCTGGATATTAAGGGTTTAATTGCTGCTGCTGGGGGTTTAGGGTTTTTTGTTTTAGTTGAGGGTTTGCAGCCCTGCGACATTTACGCTAAACCCTCGCTCCTCTGCATGCAGCAGCAAGTCCCTCCTTGGCTATCCGTTAGCTAAACCCTAAACCCTAAACCCTAAACCCTAAACCCTAAAGACTTGGGTGCAACCCACACAAAGAAGAAGGAAAGACTTACACTCAGGGATTCACGCAGAGGGTTTAGGGTTTAGGCTCCAGGAAATAACTAGGGTTTAGGGTTTAGGGTTTAGGGTTTAGGGTTTAGGGTTTGGGATCCCTTTTGCTGCAGCACTCGCTGACGGCTCCGTGGGGCTCTGCAGAGGCTGAGGCTCAGCTGTTGCTGCACGCGCAGGTAAACCCTAAACCCTAAACCCTAAACCCTAAACCCCTGTTTGTAAGGAATGTCTTACTGAGTTGTTGTTTTCGTAGCTATTGAGGTTGAGGGTTTAGGGTTTAGGGTTACCAGTGTATTGCTTCGACATCAGGCTTTAGGGTTTAGGGTTTAGGGTTTAGGGTTTAGGGTTTGTGTTTCAGCGTTGGATAGCAGCCCTCCGGAGTTATCTGCAGCCCCTGGGGCCCTCTAATGGGGGGCCCCTAATCGGCTTAGTGCTACGGGGGGGTCCTGCTGCAGAGCGGCTGCTGCAGCTGCCTCTGTACCTAAGCAGCAGCAGCAGCAGCAGCAGCAGCAACAGCAGCAACAGCAAGAGTGGCAGCGTAGGGGATAGCTCGGCGGGGTCTGCTGCTGCTGCTGCTGCTGCTGCAGCAGCAGATCGTACAGCAGAAGGAGGGGGG